GCACCAACCTTCATTCTTTTTGCACTCAACTGTAATTTAGACCCTTGAAAAGCATGCTAGTTCTCGAATGGAACTGGTTTCATTAAACTCTCTGAGCTGAGCCATTGTTGTTTATATTGGCCTTTCCTGGGCAGTAACCTCTGGAGTAAAACAATTTGATATTCACCTTTTTGGCTGCAGTAATGTCTGGAGGAAAATCATTCATCCCATATTTGTTTTTTTCTCCATGGAGGCTTTGACATTTCCATTACCCTGATCTGGCAACAATCTCTTGAAGACTGAGATTTATTTTGACAATCCTCCAATACAAAATATATAGGGTACAATAATCAAAATTCATCTAGGAGTGTAGTGGCTTGTAGGGATGCTCCTTCAGCTATGCGTGACTGAGAGGGAACCCATGATGCACCATCTTGTTGATGAAATTGATAATGATGTCAACCTCGGAATCAGTAAGCCAGGATTGTTTGGAACTTGCTTGTTCACAGGTCATTCCACCATCAACATGTTGTTTTAAGGTCACATGACTGAGTTTAATTTGATTTTCTGTTGAGGAAATGAATTAAATATAACCAAGTAGCGCGCCTGCGGGCGCAAAGCCCGCTACGCTTTTTTTGGCTCAAGAGGGGCGAATTAGAGGGGCGCGTTTACATGTATAGGAGATTTTAACGGCATCAACACGACATGTCATTATATAAAGCGAGTCCTTCATTAAAATAAATAGGTGTAACGTTTTATCTGATATATCTATCTCTACCTCTACTATGAGTGGTGCCTTGGATCTTGTTTATACCCGACGCATGGTAGAACAGCGAGCAATGGTATGTTTCACTTTATTTAACGTTAAATATACTCATTTTCATGTAATAGTCCCNGGGGTGGCCTTGACGAATTACAGAATGGCTATTGGTATGGTCGTTCGATAACGAGGCCAACCATTGTGCCTGTTGGATTGGTTACAAATGCCCAATCCTTCGACTGTGTGGGAAGTGTTGACGTAGCCGCCTGGATTCCTCATCTTTATAATGAACGGACATTCGTGGACGCCTCCAGCACTCAATATCACGTCAATCATCCAAAGCAGGCAGGATGGACCTTCATCTTTTGTTATGAACCTCAAGACCAAGCAGATCATCACCGAGTCAATATGCCTTTACGGCGAATTCTTATCAAGAAGAACTTGGAGTGGTATGGCAATGTCTTGGTTTTAAAATCAGATCGAGATGGAGGCATCACTAATGTGGCCCCCGCTGATGTACGACTCATCAACGCTGCTGTTCTCAAGTACGATTCTCCTTTTTTTTTCTTAAGCCAGGCGTGATTAACATTTGTTTAGCTTTGCTCAACACACTGAGTAGTACAAGTGGTTTCCCCTAAATTTTATGTGAATTGTTTCATAATCGAATACATAAAGGGTCATATTCATTGTGAGCGTGAAATTAAAATGGCGTCTGCGTCTAAACTATTCGGAGTATTAGAACTCTTGTGTCTGATTATCGATCACTGCACTGTCAAAAGTCGAATCAACATCGCTCGGACGAACAAATACCATTACAATGTTGTTCAAGACGGATATAGACGACGCATTGAACAAGAACTCCTGATGTGGTTTACTAAGCTGGAATTGGCTGCCTTCTGGGCCTGTATGGATGAATCCGACGGGGTCATAGGCGGATGTGCGGCAATTAACGCAATCATCCCACTCAACAAGATTCCCCATCTGGATGTATTCGTTCCTAAAGGCAAAGAAGAAAAATGGGACACCCTCCTTCTCTCCCTTGGATGGGATCATTGCTTCTCGGACACTCACTTTGCGCGTCGCTATGTAAAATTTCCGACACAATGGTGGAAGCATCCTGACTCCGTAAATTTCTCTCTTGTTCTTTACACTGTTATTTCTAATAAGCTTTCCAGCATGCTCTCCTGCGAGTTACTAGCAGCACCTCTTCCACATCCATACTTCCGATAATATTCAGTGCATCTCACACAGCTGAGATGACGTTTATCACTTCTAGTGATATTTACGCGGTTTATCCTGATCTTACTCAAAACAGGCGGACTGTATTGGTCCATACTCCAAACACGTGTGTGGCAGAACCAATCGATTTGAAGTGTTCGACCTATGATTGGGATGAACCATGCGGCATGGCATGCTTATCACTTGAACGCAGTTGGTTTAGGAACAAAGAAGTCAGGCGCATCGTGTGGAATAGTGATAGGTACGACATTGACAGAGTTTACGATCTAGAAAGCCAGGCTTTTTTTTGGGGGTTAGGCGGCGATTGCGACAATCCGCTTTGTGATGCATATGTCAGACAATGTGATTGATGTTATGGCATATTTGATGATAGCATTGTATTGGTTCGCCTGTACCAGAAAACTTTAGACCAAGCAGCTTTTCAAAGATCGGGGTCTGTGGAGGCTTTAGCGAATGGTAATGATAAGCAATAGCGGGATGTATAGAACGATCATGTGATCAACCTTCTCAAAAAAAAAACCGAGTCTTTTTCATTCTACCACCATGACGACTATTTTTTGCCAGTGTCATAAGCTCCACGTATAGTGAGGCAGGGCATTTGGAACGTATCTGTGCTCTGCATTAGTTTGTGAGGCTGGATACCCAACAGTGGTGGATCCTGGCAAGCAACGCGCTTCGCTCGAGACTCCACTGTACTTTACTTCTTATTCTTGTCACTGTCTTTATGTTTTGACGTTCGTGTTCAAGTGGGGGCTGGTATGACAGGTAAGTTAGATTGTGTTTTATGGAATTGTGTCTGATATTTTGACAGCGTGTTGGAATTCGTTTTGTTGTTAGGCAGAGGGGCGTCATGACTGCCTTCCACAACTGGTCCACATCCGCTTTCGGCCGCGCCAACACTACAATTCCATCGACGTTTAGTGACCTTCACGGCTGCTGCACACGCAACATTACAACTACAACCCGGGGGAACGTGAACATAAAAGCTGTTCTTCCGCAAACTATCAACCTTCATCCGACTATCAGCCTCGCCATCAATCCTCTTGAGCTGCGTGGTTCGACCCTCTCCCATCTCTTCGTTCAACTCATCAGTAGCGCTGAGTTCGTATTCAAGTTTCTAATTTTCTTCGCAACGGAGTCAAGGGCGCTATCCAGACCTGCACCCGGCATGGTCGGCGTCTCAGCATCAGCGACAGGGGAACGGCAGGTACAGATGCACCAGCACCAGCCCCGTTCGTTTTCTTTTTACCACCCCTTTCCTGGCTCTGGTACTGGTTGGGTACACCACGCCCCTGCTCATTTCCAAGTCCATTCATCTGCATCTCCAAAGATCTTCAGGATTCTCACCTTCCTTTCTCTTTTCACCTTTTTCTTCTTGTTCTGCTTCCCTTGGGGCTCAGGGTGCCCGGCGTGTGGCGATTCTGGCGAAGCAGCAACACTATGCGTCGGCATACGGGGTGCACCACCCTTGTTTTCCTGTTTGAAGATCGACGGCGTCGCTAGGCCTTTTAGTATGCCATCTAGCGCTGTGGAATACAAACGCTAACAGCACAATTTCATCTGCGTTAGTGACCCCCTTGGCGACTGCCATTGGCTAGCAACAAGAAGTACTCTGACTACACTATGGGCGCTTGGGCTGTGAATAGGGAGAATTAGCAGGGACTACATCTACTCTTTGGTTCGTCGTTTTTTATATATATGTGGTGGCATTGTTCGTTCACATTGGTATTGCAGGACGAAAACGTCAACCCATCAACTTACAAGACCATCAACAAGCCAGAGTACTAGGGTGTGCATGGCACTGGTGAAGTGTGGGCTGAGATCTTTTAGGTCGTCTGACTGGAGATGATCAAGAACCACAGATACTCGGACGATCTCTTCCCTCCTGCACCACACACAGACGGCACCATGCCCACTGGCAGCTTTGCAGGCTCACGGAGGTTGGAAGGCCCCTTGTTCCGAGGCACGCTAACTCTCTTATGTTATAACTTGTGCTTAATGGGATCAAGCTTCAGGCGTGCTGCCCGACGTTTTTCTAGGTGCGCGATGAGGCTGATCAGATCTTGACGGATGGAGAGAAGTTTTGTGAGCTTGGAAGGGCTTTTCGAAGAGGGGGATGGGCCCTGATGTGAAGGTCGAGGGACAGACGTCGTGGGGTGGAGGTCGTCATCTCTCTTTATCTGTGTTGATCACTTTCGTGACGCTGATAGGGATTCACATTGCCCATGGCATGCCGCGATCATTTCACCGAGCACTAGGCATGTTTATTATGAAGAGGTTGATGATGGGTTTTGGTATGTGCGTTTTTCGCTTCTACTTTGTTTGTTGTTGAACCGATTGTTTCTAGCTGCTGAGTTGACACATCGTATAGAGAAAGTATCATTCATTGCTCATCACGGTGTCTGAACTATAAGAATCTATCACAAAGACCCGTTTGGCATCACAACAACGTTAGGAAAATACAGCATTGATTGTGAGTTTACATCAGGCTTAATCACTAAGGAGGGTAAGCGTTTTTAGGGTCATGTTACTCGTTTCATGCAAGAAACTGCAAAGGTTTAGTACTTAGTGTTTGAACAAAAAATATGGAAGTAGGTGTGAACACACTTTTTGATTATTTCATGGACATCCTCGAGATCCGCTTCGTTACAATCTGCCACCTGGCCATTGTTTCCATTCAGTTTCATAACGAGGAGGGGTCCCTTCCATGTAAAACAATATTCCGGGGTGAACGTCCAACGAACACAGTCATTAAAAGGAGGTCTTATCAGTGCCCCCCTAATTCCTGTAGGATTCCGGTCATTCCTGTGGATTCCGGTGGATTCCGGAGGAGTGAAATTTAGCAGAGAGGCCTGCTATTTTCTCCATTCCGGTGCTTTACCATTCCGGCGGAATTTCGGCATTCCGGAATTGTGACCGGAATGGTCCCCGGATTGGCAAAAACAGAATGCAACCGGAATCCGGTTTGTTTGGCACAAGCCCATTGCCAAACAATTGTTTGTTTGGCAACGGCTTTCACGCTCATCCAAATACAACCCTCTTCTCTCCCACCACCACTAACCTCTCCTCCCACCACCACCAACGTCCCCGCTCCTCGTAAATGCGCGCCCGCTACCCACCCACGCCACGTCACCATGGTCAGCTGTGGCCACCACCGCCCACAAACATCGTCGACCACCAACAACGACCACATCAACAACGCGGCAACGCCACGTCAGCAAGCAAACAAGCCCCGGCAAGGTCGAGGGGACGAAAACGGACCACGAGGGACGACCACGACGACCATGACCACGCCCACGAACCACGACACGCCCCACGACATCAACGGACGCCCACGTCAAACGCCAACAGACGCCCACGTCAATGGACCACGACCACGTCAACGGACCACGACCACGCCAGCGGACGACGACCACGCCAGCGGATGACCACGTCAACGCACCACCACCTCAACGGACGACGACCACGCCAGCGGACGACCACATCAACGCACCACCACCACGTCAATGGACGATGACCACGCCAACGGACACCCACGTCAACGCACGACGACGTGCCCCCGCCGATGGGAAACCAAGGTGCCACGTCGCTGTCAGCGATGTGGCAACCAAACTACGAACGACGATGACGACATTGTCGTTCGTCGTTCACACAAAGGTGAGTCCCCTGACTCTCCTTCATCCTATCCCATCTCGCTAACAGCCACCACGACATCACACGACGACGACGAGTGCATTGTCCCTCCCCCTTCCCTGTCCCTCCCTTCCTTTTCCTGCCCCTCTTCCCTGTCCCTCCCCATTTCCATGTACTCCCATCCCCCTTCCCTGTCCCTCCCCATTTCCATGTACCCCCTTTTCCCTCCCCCCTTTCCTGTCTGTCCCTCCCCATTTCCTTGTCCCTACCTCCTTCCCCCATTTCATTGTCTCTGCCCCCTTCCTTTTCCCTGCCCCCTTCCCTGTCCCTCCCCATTTCCTTGTCCCTGCCCCTTATCCATCCCCTTCTTTAATATGCACTGTATGTAGTAAAATAGACTCATGTCATTAATAAAATACATTAAAATTTGATTTGAATGACTTGACTAGAAGTGAATTTTATAAGAAATTCTGAGTATTGAGTTGAATCAATGCAGATTAAGTCACCTGACCTCTAGATCAGTGCTGATCCATTCTGATTGTAGATACTCTGATCAGAGCATGTGGGGGAGGGTAAAGTACTGCTATTTATGGTGGATTGTGGTCTTATTCAACTGGAATCCACTGGATTCCGCAGGACTCCGCTGGATTCCACTGGATTCCAGTCCCATTCCTGCGGATTCCACCGGAGTCCGGTTCCATTCCACCGGAATCCGCAGGAATGACCGGAGTCTGACAGGAATAGGTAGGGCACAATAAAGTACTGCACAAAACAGATGCCAAATGAACAGATTCAATTTCAGAGTTTAAAAGGTGTGAATTAGACATGTTGACATCAACATCAACAGACTCCTATAAAAACATCAGCAAAGGGCAACTGTAAAAAAAAAATTGAGGTACGTACTGAAGCATGAAAATCATGGGACGTTGAACCAGAATCAAAAGAACACAAATTTTCCACTTGCAGACCATCGGGGAGGGAAGACTACAAGCACGGTGAATATTCAAAGTCGTGGCGAACCATATAAAAATGCGTACATCATCATTTGGTCGAGACTCGACGCACTACACAAAGCATGAACTTTGCCAATTTGAGTCAAAGGAAGCAACTTACAAAAACGCGGGGGACAGTGAACGACATTACGCCACATAGCTCCTTCAAAAAGACTTTCCAATCTGTTCCCAAGATAACGTCGAAATTGGCGAAATGGGTCGTAGATATCATAGAAACGATGCAGGTCATCCAGGTTTCTCCTATACGGACGGACACCGCGATATCATGAAAACATCGTTCGGGGTCAAGGCCAAACCGGCTAAGCGCTGAGGCAGAAATGAACGACCTAGTGGTAGATCGAACGTCGACAGATGCAGCATGTCCATTGAACGTGAACTGAAAGTCGGACAAAGACATGGCGGTTGAGAGACAGATGGTTTCAATTATACAGAACCAAACATTACAATCACGGTACGATCAATGTTCCCTAACTACGCGGATGGACAACCACGCTTTTTGCATACTCGCCCCAAGCACCAATTGTATCGTCGGGTTAAGAGGTTGCTCATTACATTCCCCCTACGCCATTCTAAGAGGCCAACGCCGGCAAAACCGGCAAATTCTCGTTGTGCTGTAGGACAACAGGTAGGATGTTTGACAGGATGATAGGCAGACTCCAAGAAAATCGCAAATCCTTTAGAGAGCATCTCAAAATACGTTGTGGAGGCGGGAGGAATACCAAACGCGTAGGAGATTCGATTTTGAAGGGTTTGAGTTGGATAGAGGCACCCAAAATGCTCCGAGCTGATAAAATTCATACAGGCAGTATGGCCGGCGCGAACGACGACACCCAAAAAGGAATCCGATTCGTGCGCCTCGGTAACTGTGATAGTTTTCCCTTCAGGATTAACAAACACAGAATGAGTGAATGCAGCGGCCGCCTCTCTTTTTAAAACACCGGCGCCAGCGAACCGGAATTGAAGACCATGAAACAACTGTAAAAAATTCTGTAGTCCATCTCGCGGGGTCGCTATATTGAGGTCACGGGGAGCCCAGCTGCTACCGCCGCCATTCAACAGAATCTTCAACGCCGTCGAACCAACGACAGCACTATTGGAAGCAGTAAGAACCGCCACAAATTCCTCGATGTATTCTGATTATTAACATCAACAATAGATCAACCAATGATAATAATTAATCACTGACCATAGGCTATAAATGGCGACAAAAAAAAATACAGACGTTGCTTGAGATACTCTTGGACGACTGCACGACACGACCAACTGGCTTGACTAAAAGAAGCGAGGACGTCGAGAGAGCAGCATTCAAAGACAAGTGTCCTGACATCCCTGCCTTCACCAAAGAAGAAGTCCGAGAATGCGTCGACTGGCTTGGTAGTTTGCATGAAAATGACGGAAGAGAATCAAAGTTTTCTACAGAAAGGGATGCTTATGTATAAGGAAAGAAGAAAGCTCCTATTAGCATTCCGTCCACCCCTCTTCCAAATAATCGGGGTGAGGCTGAAACAACAATTTGGTAGGGAAAAGCCAACATGTTTTTTTTTTTTTTTCTTTTTCTGAATTTATAAAGTTCATTCACTGTGGAAGAATCAAACACATTTGTTCGTTTAAAATTCAACATTGATTACCGAAAAAAAAAACGGACGAAGATAGTAAGTATAGGTGGCAACGTGATGGTGAGAGGACAGTCATGTGATCATCACATGACCATCTTCAAATCCTTGAGTGGCGAAGGGTGGCAAGACCCACTACTTTCATAGCGGGCATCATTTAGAGTAGCATAGATATAATTGCCAGTCTCTTGGAAATGAAGACTCTTGAAATTGAGGCAGACTTTGCAGTATCCATGACGATCTTTTGTTGGCTTCTTTTGATCTGCCTTGTATGCAGCAGTGGTGTCACAGCCGTCTTGACCTCAGCCATAAAGGTCAGGCCGAAATGTGGGTCAGGCCAATTTGACCGGTCGTGTCTGTGGTCAAAGGGGTCAAACATCACATGCCAAATCCCAGATTACCTGCGACATTGAGTAGACAGTGAAGCAAGTAATAAAGTAGTGTTGAACCTGTCTGTGTAGTCCTACTAGCGCTTTATATGTAGAAAAGTATGAAATTATACCCTACATTACCCTCCTGCTCCCTTGAGTTCTATGATGCCTCCACCCTTGCCACTCTGGGCATATTTTTGTCATGATAAAATCCATTACAAGAATGACAAGACTCACCTAATGCATGGTGCAAGGCATGTATTTTGTCCCAAAAGCACATTTTGCTAGAATTGGATTCGTTGAGAACCTGTTGAGGTGAAATCATGGCAGTCCGGAGTCCCTTGGAATTGGAGCCAGTAATATGCGCGGAGCTGGAAAGTCTGATGGACTCTATCAATACTCATTGTTCGACATTGGTCCCTACACCAGACTTCAATGTTATTCATTGCATTACGTTGAATTTATTTTCAGCTCCATTGCGTACCAATGGAAATTATCGAGACTCAGTGAGTCACAATGGTGCTGTTGTAGGACATTGACCAAAATCTGGTGTCCAATAGACTGCAATGAACCCCGATGGACCTCAATGAATTACGCTGACATTCAGTGAATGTCATTGGAAACTTATCGAAATCCATTGCAGTCCATTGTGGTCCATCGGTACTGGGCATTATTGACCAATTTGCCGGCTTTGGGAAGTTGTTGTTCAACATTGGCAAACAAACTCCGAAGAGCATATTCCACTCCGTTCGTCCATGGTTATCCAAATGCATCGGACAGCTACGTTAACATATGGACTAAAGACCTCCTAACACATGTCCACACCCTCTGCTTGTGGTCCCCTTCTAACTCCAACAACCCCACAAGTCCCGCTGCAGCACGCCGCATGCGCAGTGCTCTCAACATTGTCTACCTCCGACACAGCGGGCCAAACCCCCCTCTTCTACACCACGATGAAGCACATCACGCAGCAATGCGCCACTCCACCTCCTTCCACTCTGACCACTCTGCCGCACACTGCCCTGGCCCGCACGAAATCGTGCGCGCATGGCCAGGTGGTAGGACACAGCGTGTTGATGGGCGTAGCTGGCATGGGCATATCCAAAGATGGTCATGGACCAGGCAATGGCATCTGCCATCTTGAAGGACTCGAGGTGTTGGTGGTGAAGTATATCCTGAGGAGTGTTTTAGATATGCCTGCGGAGGGGAGGTTGATGGGGAGGGTTTGGTACTATTAGCTGCATGATAGGTGAGTTTGTTGTACCTGTCGAAGAATAGTGTTAGTAATAAGTGGGGGGCAGACTGCGGGATTCGCTGCAGAACTTCTTGTTTATTGGGTTCAGAGATCTCGCAATATGAACTCAACTTTTCTAAGCTAAGGAAAAGTAAGAATATTTTTTTCTTTCTTCCTGGTTTTTTGAATAGCGTGCTGACAATTTAGACAGTGACATGCTAACAAATTCACCAACTAACAACTCACCACCTAATGTGCTCTGTTCCCCATCACGCCCAGGAACGACCCTCTGCAAAAACGTGCGCGCATGGGAAGGCCAATCGTTGGGGCACGGTGTGTTCAAGGTTGTCACTCGAGGTATCAGTGGTGCTCAGATATGGGGGTGTTCGATGATGTGGAGGCAGCGGAGATATTTGGATCAGTATCTCCTGAGGATTGTTTTGGACACGCCGGCAGGGAGGAGGTGCACTCTTCACGCTCAATAGAATAAATGACAGTTAAATTTGATTATGCGTGGTAGCTACTTTTCTAGGCAGCTGCTTGGTTCCAAAACTCTGCTGAGAGGTCACGATCCTTGTGTAAAATGTGGTCCTCTACTGTCTCCTTGTAAACCAACATCAGAACATGGACAAAAAAATCATAGTTAGTTGCGGACATCTGCCGAAGCTGTGCTTCAAAGCCATCCAACCAGGAGTTGAGTTGCTCAGCTGTTTCTGTGTTAAATGCACGGGTGGTATGGGTTGCTCCTGCATCGTCTACTTCCGTTATGACCAAGTCTGGTTGCGAGCCGTTGGTTGGAGCCGGATTACACCATATGCAGCACAATAAATCAGTAGCTCGATGGCCAATATAATGCCATGCATCAACAATAAATTTTGTTGACTTGAGCCACAGACTCTGTGCATCCTGGGTTGTGACATGGCGAAGTAGATCACATGCGTCGTCATATGCGAGGAAACTTGGGCGTAAATCTGGGTAATTAACCCAGACACGATCCAAGATTGCCAAAACCTGAGGAGCACTCTCAGATTTATAGCACTTTCCCCAGCCAATCGGAACACCACATGCCCACTGGATTGTTTGTAGGCAATACACAGTCTGTGCGCGAAAGGTGTGAACAACCTTGGGTCCCGGTGTATTATTGAGTGCTGGAAGATGCTGCTGGACCTGCAGAGTTGGCCCGAAATTTCCTATGTCGTTATTCTCACGAGCAGCTTGTTGGCGACGAATAACCCGACGAACACCGGGAAATGACAAACAGGTGAATCTTTGAGAATATTTTTGATGCCATTCATGATGTTGTATATCGTCACAAGTGAGAGAACCAACCGGAGATACAGGTCATCCACAGGGAATTATGCCACAGATATCTTTCAGGTTGATGTGAGTCCTGCAAAATCTTCCATTCTTATAATTTATGAGGTCTTCTTTGCAATCATCAAGAGCACATAGCTGCAAAAATCAATGCTCATATGGATGCAAAATTGTATGAGGCACATACTCGATGACCAATTGTTTTACCATCCATAATGGCAAGTCGGACATATCCCCATGGTGTTCCAGGTGGTGGGGCATTTTGCTGAGGTGGTTTTTCAGCCAGAGTGGCTGGTGGAGGCAACACCTGAGCTGGGACATCTCCGGCTGCTAACTGGATCGCAGTGAGAAATGGCATTGAAACAAGTTGGTATTTTTTATGCACCTGATCTGCATGAATTGTGGCAACACCTGCAACCTCATTATCTTGATTGTTGATTTGAGCTCCTTCAGCAATTAGATCCTCTTTGTAACGTTTGAAGTGCATGCAGTCAATGCATCCATGGTGCATTGAAGATGGTAAAGTGCCCCCGTTACGACCAATGCGAAGGCATACCTGCACAGCAAACTCAGAGGAACTGGGGTGGGCAGGGCAGGTAAATTCTAGATGATGTCCATGTGTTATAAGGAGCCGATGTGAAAAATGTTCCAGAAAAAGGCATTGTGATTGTCAATTTGTAATGGCAGGCTTTTCCTTGATTGTATCGTTTAGCCATCCAGCAAAATTTGACCACCCTGCGTGAAACCAATGGAGCACTTTCTCCTGTGCAAGTGCAACTTTTCGGTGCATCCAAATTCTGTGTTTTGAAACACGAAGATAGTTTGTATCATATTCCAGTTTTTGAAGGTGTTTCCCCTCACAAGCGAAGGTGATTTTATCCGGATAGTAATCCGAACAGCAGACAGGACAATGGGCAACAAATAAATCGGCTTCAATCCACACGAGGTCCCTATCAAGTAGTCGCACTGACTGCGGTTGTTCCCAGCATCACAAAGTGTGAAATTCATCAAGAGGGCAGATAATACAAGTAGTGTGGGGGGTGACCAGGATTTGGCGTACTTGGGGAAAGAGTTCATGAATGGGGTCACTGTGAAAATTGTCATCAATGCCTAGGAACTCATAAATTGCTTCAAGGTCCTGACCGATATTCCTGGCTAGCTGCTGTTCAGGTGGGATATCTAAGTCATTATTCACAAATAGGGCCAGTTCTGGGTGGGTTGCGGCCTGAAATCCTAAGGCTATAATGGCTACAAGGCTTTTAAACCAAGCAGTGTTTCTGGGCTGGCGCGGTTCACGTTGCTGACTTTTGTGAAGCAAAAGGAGTGGGTAGACAGATATGATTGTGGCGAGAATGTAGAGTGTGCTCAGAAGTGAAAGAGCGGCAGGAAAAAAAAGCTCCAGTATCAGAGTGAGGTCCTTCACAGAAGCTGCCATCCTGGAGGTGTTGTTGGATTGAAATTGAGGGTGTAAAATGCTTATCAGAATACAATCAATCAGATAAGAGTTGTATTGCGAAGCGCGAGTATCAAGATTCGAGTGACGAGCGTACAATGACTACATATCCACTCACTCATCTGATCCATCCAAACTATCGGAATCTACCTGAGGCTTAGCCTTTCCCTTTCCCTTCTTCAACTTATGCCCTCCAGCCTCCTCCCCGCTATCATCAGGGTGTGCGATTTGCTTCTTGCGCTTCTTTGTGGAGTCATGCTTTGCGTCCTCTTTGCAATCTTCAAGGTACCGCTTGAATTTTGCTGGCGTCATCCTGCTAAAGAATTCTTGGTATTCTCCCTTGGGATCCAAAACCCACGCCGCTGCTTTTGGTGCACTGAGAAGGGACTCTGGAGAAAACAACTTAGCATCCCCATGTGCCTTACTTGATGGAAGCTGTAATGCATTGTACATGTCATTGCGCACGAACGCCTGTGTAGCGTAGCGAGGATGATCTAAGATGATGATAATGGTGAGTAAACTTGAGCTCACCACAGATCAACGTACCTGCTGGAACACAAAACCCGCCTCGAGACCCCTTTGCCCAGCCTTTCTCCTTTAACGACTGAAAGACGGCTTCAACCTTGAGATACCAATCAAGAATGCTGGTGACAGATTCTGCCCATGGCCAGCTTATGTCCTCAAGATTGAAATATTCATGCAAATAGGCTATGAATTCATCGTCGACAGGAGGAGACGCGATAACATTATTCTTGATGCGAGCCTTTGTCTCCTTCATATCGCGAGCGACCTCTAGTGGTTTGGCTTTCACAGCCAATGGTTCAGCTTGCGTGACAGGTACAGCAGGCTAAAGCTGGTAAGTAACTATTGTTAAGCAAGAGAGAAATTTGGTGAACCGACGGTTGCTCCCAAAAGATATCGCAAGCATATTCACCACTATCGAGGGACCTGAGGACATACTCATCAACGTGGGTGATAGAAAGCTGTCACAGAATTTCTCCCGATGCAAAAGCATTAACTGCACCAATGGCGATATGGCTGGAGTCGGCAGCTTGACCTGGCCTGTAAAGGCGGCCACCATGTTCTAAAATGTACATTCCTTTAGTATAGAAACCATAGAAAGCGAAATGGGCACACCTTTAATTGGAGAAGCATTTTGAATAACATTTGGTAGAAGCAGTGAGAGCGAAGCGGTCATCTGTCCTTTGCTTGACGTAGCTGTAAAGCCATCTTCCAACCAAATTTCTTCCGCTGGTTTAGTGGGGTCCGTGTGGTCGAAGAAATTGACAACAACTACAGAGAACCACTGTCAGTCCATATCTATATATGCACAAGTATAGCTTACATGGAACTGTTGTGTTAGGCTTTACACCGCTGCTGATATCTGTGCCCTTCAAATGTTTGAGGGCTTCACTGAGGCTTGTTGCAACTGTAACTCCCATCTCTTTCTCAGAAGGAACCGCAATGTGATCAGAGTCACTGCCGTTACCCAAGTCTGGAAGACCAGCAGGAGACGAGTCGTCACCCATGTCACGATCTTCATGGGAGATTAGCTTGAAAAAACATGAGTGCAAGCCATAACGACACGTACCAGGAGTAACAGGTCCCCCACGAACAGCGGTCCCAGTGGTGCCGAGTCTTCCGAATTGTGGAGGAGGATCAGTTGTGACTTTAAGGTCCAATAAAGTCTTGTTAGCTCTAAACGCAGAGAAGTTTTGTATCAATTCGATTTGGCGACAAAAGCGGTGACGTACCCTGTTGGCTTCCCAACTGCTACATTTGCCTCAATCTCATCCTCTGCCACCTTATCAGAACTCCTCTTCATTTTCTTCTCTGCAGGGGTAGAATCTGGGCGGTAAGAAAACAATCCTTGAAACTTGATATTTTCGGCCAGTTCAGGATGCTTATCAAGATGTGTGATGATGTGAGGAATCAGGACTTTCATGGTCCCAGTAGAGTCAATTTCGAGCACAAGAGCAATTGCCTCCAAGTCCGATTTCTTGCGACAGTTGTTGATAGGTCCTGTTAGTGCAGACATAACTGGGTGTTTGGTGGGGCGAAGAGGGGTGCACAAAGATTGATCAAGCGCATGCAATGAGTATTTCACCTGGAGAGTGGGATTTGAAATTCATCGGACCATATCGGGGGTGAGCATGGGCCAAGGATATTCAGTGAAGGCCATTGGAATTCATTGGAGAACATTGGACACGACGGTGAGAGTGTTGAAGTCCAATGAAACACAATGACAAGTACAATGGAAATTGCCGTATCGTATTTTAATCTCCGTTGTCATGTGACATATCTCAATGCCCATCAACCTCTATCAGTGTCCACCAATGTACGTCGATAGACATTGTTGTCCATCGACGTACAACAAAGTCCAACATTGAACTTTCCAGCAGCCGGCATATAACTCATTGGAGCTGACCGGTATGTTAGATATCCTTGAATTGAATTCCCTTGATCAACCTAAAAACAATACAGCCATCACAAGGGTCACACCAATCTGCAGAAAAAGTGATCGCATGAAAACGCACATTAAGAATTGCAAATCACTCACCAACGATGAATGTTGGCTATGTTGGCTGTACCCTGCACCCCAACAGCCCTCCATGAAAACCCCACCCTTGTCCTTTCCTCACCGGCCACATCTTTCCATCACCCTACATCCAAACCATCTGTTCTGTCAAATGCTGCAACAAGAACTCTCAATCAGTCCACTGTTCGTCTGTCACCGACACCACTATGTGTACCTGCTGTTAAAAGGTCAAAGTCCCTCCATGATGGACATGGTGGTGTACAGACACTTGCAAAAGTTCTTTCACCGCAAGAACTGCAGGACGACTTTTCCAGTGATCTATGCAAGCTGCTCATCTCGTTAAACACAGCTTGGACAGCAGCAGATAATCCCACATTCCATACCTTTGTTCACAAGTGGGTTGGGCCAGAAGTTGTTGTACAGGATCGTCGAATCATGTCAGGCCAGGTGCTTGACAACAAGGTCAGAAAGGTGGAGAATAAGGTGTGACAAAAGGTTCGGGGCAAGCTGGCAACTGGCTTATGTGACAGGTGGAAGAACATTGCCAAGACGTCTGTTGTAAGCTCATTGATGACTGTCGACACAATTGTGAGCCAGTACTGCTTATTACTCGAAATTGTGCTCACTTCATTCTAACACTGTTCTAGCCATATCTTGTCCAAACCCACAACATAATGCATGATGCGAAGACAGGTGACCACCTGTTGAAGTTGGTACTTGAAGACATCGTCTTGATGGAAACAAAATATGGTGTTATTCTCATCGCTTGGTGTACAGATGATGGCCCTTAGTGTTCGCAAGTTCAGTTCAGTCCGGTTTTTTGCCCCCAAAACGCGCAACCGTGGACCGCAACCGGTCTAGGACCGACCCAGATATTGAGGGAACCGAACCGAACCACCTAGGACCGGTCTATTTCGGTCTATGGAGCCGGTTCAGACCGATCCAGACCGGTTTTTTTGCGTATAATTTATTATACCAATATAAACCATTTGTATCTTAACTATTATTACTCTGAAAAATAAACGGGTTATATGAAATAGTAAAGCATGTAAATACCCGTCATTCTACCAATTTTGAAGAGATTTAATGAAGATTTGACATAGCTATGACTGAAACCGAATTACATCTCGTAGAGACTCGGGTAAAATATGGATTTGGTTATATCTTTCTCAATTCTTAACCGTTTTTGATGAAACAAAAACCCAATAAAAGGTAATAAACGTGGTTACAAGGGTATGTAACGCACGTGACCGTTTAACCGGTTGCAACCGATCAAAACCGGTCTTTGAACGGTTTTAATATATTTTCGAAATGAGGCAACCGGCAACCGGACCAACCCCAAATTGGGGCAACTGCAACCGAAAAAAAGACCGGACCATGGTCCAGTTCAGTTCGGTCCACCGGTTTTTTGCGGTCCTATGGACTGAACCTTTAAACACTAATGGCCCTGATGGGAAGAAAATATGACAGTTATTGCTTGTTGCTTTTCCACACCTCATCATGATTCTGTGTTGGGCTCACCAGATTAACCTGATTGTTGGGGATTGCCTTGCCATCTGACAGAGTATGATGGATGACATCAACCATGCCCTTGATGTTGTGAAGTGGTTTAACAACCATGAGACTGCCCTGGAACTGCTTCATCAGGAACAAGTTCTCACGTTTGAGGGACTCAGCTGGACATTGATACTTCCTGCTATTACACGGTGGACAGTGCACTACCTTGCTTTGAGCTGAATTTTGAAGGTGAAGCAGCTGCTTCAAATTTGTTGGACAAGAAATGAAGACAGGCTCATTGTATGTGCCAGGACGAAAGAGGAGTTGCAGGGAAAGGCACATCAAATCCGAGATATAGTGCGCAATGAGGGCTTTTGGTATTGAATTGGAAGGTATTTCATCTGTTCAATCAGTAAGCATTTAGACTTTAACATGGCGATAGGATTTGGAAAGTTCTCAAACTGCTCGCCATTGCAGCCAATGTGGCCCAGTCATCCCATACCCATCTCAACCATGTTCTACTCACCCTTGGGAATCTGATTCGCATATTCTCCAAACCTACAGAAGCTTTTGATGAAGATCTCTGGAACAGAATCATCAAGAGCATTGAAAAGAGGTGGAAGAAAGCTGACCAGGATATTTTTATAGTTGTGGTATTCCTCAATCCGTTTATTCGAGACACACTTTTCAACAAGGAGTTCCTCATGGAGGTGCAGCTCTACAACATCATGGAGAGGACCTATGAGCGCATTCTGCAGTGTGAGTCAAACCTTGACTTCTTAGAGGCTTTCAAGGATTACAGGTGGTTGCGTGGTGAGTTTTCTGATGATGACATGTCCCTATCATTGATGAAGGAGAAGTTCACTCATGAGGTATGTTGTCCACCACTTAGTACAGCTGAATTCTGACAACAACATTATAGGGTGCTCCACTTGACCTTCAGAATATATGGGCTCAGATCGACAAAGGAGTCAACTGTGGGCAAAATGGGCTTGTCAAGCTCGCCGTACACATTTTCTCTGTGATTGCAAACTCAGCTGGCTGTGAACATGTCTTTAGCAAATTTGGGATCACTCACACAAAGCTGCATGACAAGCTCGATCCAGAAAGGGTTCACAAGTTGGCTGTCATTGGAATGGAAGTCAGTTGAGTGCTGGAAGATCATGGTCTTTGGAGAAGTTGAAAACAGCGCAAGTTTGGTGAGGATGAGTTGACCAACGATGTGGATTTGGAGCAGTACTTATCACTCCCCCACCTATTCCTACTGGACTCCAGGACTCCAGTAAGATTCCTACTGGATTCCAGGACTCCAGTAGGATTCCCACTGGATTTCAACAATTCTTCCAAAAAAGGCAATTTCCACCTATTGGACTCCTATTGGACTCCTATTGGACTCCAACTGACTCCTACTGGACTCCTATTGGACTCCAACTGACTCCAACTGGACTCCAACTGGACTCCAACTGAACTTAGACAAAAAAAATCCAAACCTTCAGTTGGATTCCTACTGGATTCCTACTGGACTTCTACTGGAGTATCATGCATTCTATCAATTTTTGATTAAGTCAGTCAGACCTTTTAACACCTCAAAATTCCATACCAAACTTCCATTTAAACATAGATATTATATTGATGACTATATACACAAATATATACAAAAATATTTAATAATCTAATGTGGTCAGGGTGGGGGAGGGAGGAAGTGGTGGGAAATGATGAGGGGGGGGGAGAGTGAGGGAGGGGGAAGGCAGGGGAAGGGAGGGTGAGAGAAGGGAAGGGAGGAGAAGGGAGGGGGAGACAGGGTGAGGGAGAGGGAGGGGAAGGGAGGTGGGAGTGATGGAAGGGAGGTGGAGTGATGGAGGGGGAGGGAGAGGGAGGGGAAGGGAGGGAAGGGAGGTGGGAGTGATGGAGGGAGAGGGAGGGGAGAGATGGAGGGGGAGGGGGGGGAGGACAGAGAGTAGACAGGGAGGGTTTGAGGGGGAGGGAGTGAAAGGAGCTCATCACAAAGGGAGTGCTCGTCATCCGTGGGCATGGGTGGGCTGCTTTTCGTGGGCGGTGGTCGTCGTTTGGGGGCGCTGGATGTTTTTCGTGGGCGGCGGCTGTCGTTTGTGGGTGCTGGGTGTTTTTCGTAGGCAGCGGCGGTTGTCGTCTGTGGGCTCTGGGCGTTTTTCGTAGGCGGTGGCGGTCGTCGTTTGTGGGCACTGGGTATTTGTCATGAGCGGTGGCGGTCGTTTATGGGTGCTGGGTGTTTTTCGTAGGTGGCGGCGGTCGTCGTCTGTGGGCTCTGGGTGTTTTTCGTAGGCGGTGGCGGTCATCGTTTGGGGGCGCTGGATGTTTTTTTGTGGGCAGCGGCTGTTGTTTGTGGGCGCTGGGTGTTTTTCGTAGGCGGTGGCAGTTGTCATCTGTGGGCTCTGGGCGTTTTTCATAGGCGGTGGCGGTCGTCGTTTGTGGGCGCTGGGTATTTGTTGTGGGCGGCGGCAGTCGTTTATGGGCACTGGGTGTTTTTCGTAGGTGGCGGTCGTCGTTTGTGGGCGCTGGGCATTTTTCGTGGGCGGCGGTCATCGTTTGTGGGCTGGTGGGTGTTCTTCGTAGGCGGTGGGTGT